TATTTATTTGTTTGTTTGTTTTATTTCAGTATAGTTGACATACAATGTTACATTAGTTTCAGAGGTACAACATAGTGATTTATCTACGCATTAAAAACTACAAACATCTTTTCTATTTCTGCCTGTTCCATTTAATATTGCTGTTTAAAAAAATGCTCCATATTCAATGATATAAAAAATCAACTATTTTATTATGCTTATAGATTGACTATGTGGGTCAAGAATTCAGGCAGGGCACACTGGGGATAGTATGTATCTGTTCCCCAAAGCCTGGGTCGAATTTTTGGTCCTATGTAACAAGGGACCCTTCTCAACAACATCTTCCTTAGCTCCCTTTGTGCCCTTAGTGCAGCCTCCTCAAGGCCTTTTAGATTTCTAACATTCTCCTTTAGGATCCCCTCCCATTCTGGTTGCTTCACCTAGTTCCAAAGGCAATGCCACATGTTTTAGTCTTGTTACATTATTTTGTTATGTTTTGTTATGATATTCATCCACTTCTAAGTAACAAAATCTGTTCCAGTTACTACTGCCATGTAATAAGTGGTTACTCTTACAATTACTATGTAATAAACTTTCTCTTCCATCACTAGAAGTCACTGGTAGAAATATAAAGAAAAAAGTCCCCATGTGACTTATCTATGGTGGGAGTGTACAAAAGAGAGAGAGAGAGAGAGAGATAACTAGTTAGTGAAGATAAGATGGGCAAACTGGAGGCACTGGAGTTGTCCAGAATCATGAGGACATCCTCCCAGCCATTGCTATCTTTCTTTGGGCTTTCAGTGTCAGGGTCATGGCATGATGCCCTCAATATAAGAGCCAGTGGACTGTGGTTCTGTTGTTGGAGCCTATGACTAAGTACTACTTGTACTGTAAACATAAACAAAAGCTATTTCATTGTTATTATTATCAAGATTTGGAAAGGGCAAGGGGAGATGGCCTGTTTCTGCTCATGACACCTAAGCTGGGAAGACTCAAAGGCTGGAGGTTAATCCATGGATGAAGACCGGATCTTCTGAAGGCCCATTCAATTACATGTCTGGTAGTTGGTGCTGGCTGCCAGCTGGGATCTTACCTGGAGCTGTTGGTCACAATGTCAATATATGATTTTCCCATGCAGTTGCTTGTGCTTCCTCAGAGCATGGTGGCTGGGATCTAAGAGCAAGCATTGCAAGAGAGAATTGCAAAGAAACTGCATTGCTTTTCAGAAGTTACATGGCATGGCTTCTGCTATAGTCACAAGCTGGCTCAGAGTGTCAAGGGTGGGGAACATAGGTAGACACACCTTTATATGGAAGGAGTATCAAAGTCTCATCGTTCAAAGAGCATGTGAGGTGGACAATGTGTGGCCATTTCAGAAAAATTATCCACTGCACTGTCATATACCAAAACAGTAAGATGACATATTACAGATATAGAACATTCTGTGGTTACTGGTGATATGTCAAATCCTTTACCATAACAAGAAATAGCATAGATATCAGAGGATTAGAGACTAAGTCTCTGGAGATAAAGGCAACTCTTTAAACCTGTCATAAGAATCTTAGGCTCAGAACGTGGGATCCTCAAAGTCAACATTTATTTCTTTTTAAATGATTTTTCTGGAATTATCTTCTTCCTCCTGAATTGTATCTTTTATAAATATAAAAGGAATTTATATACAATTCCTCCTGAATTGTATCTTTTATAAATACTTCGGTTCATAGTAAATTTTCTCAGTTTGGTTTCATCTGAAAATATCCTCAATACACTCTCATTCCTGAATGCTTGTTTAGCTGGGTAAACAATTCTAGGTTGACATTTCTTCAGGACTTTGGAAATATTTTATCAGTAATTCAAAAATACCATTTTAGTCTTCTACCTTCAATTGTTAAACCAAGACATCTAATTTCAGTCTAATCATTTCTCTTTAGGTATTTTGTCTCTGGTTGCTTTTAAGATATTTTTGTCTTTGATATTCTGAAATTTCAGTATTATGTGTCTAGGTTTGTATTTCTTTTATATATCCAGCTTGAGATTCATGACCTTCCCAAATATTAGAGTTTCTGTTTTTCATCAATTCTGGATAATTCATATCTATTGTCTTTCTTTTTTTTTTTTTAACGTTTATTTATTTTTGAGACAGAGAGAGACAGAGCATGAACAGGGGAGGGGCAGAGAGAGAGGGAGACACATAATTGGAAGCAGGCTCCAGGCTCTGAGCCATCACCACAGAGCCTGACGCGGGGCTCGAACTCACGGACCGTGAGATCGTGACCTGAGCCGAAGTTGGACGCTTAACCGACTGAGCCACCCAGGCGCCCCTCTATTGTCTTTCTTTAATGTTTATTTATTTATTTATTTTTTGAGAGAGAGAGAGAGAGAGAGAGAGAGAGAGAGAGGCCGAGAGAGAGGGAGACACAGAATCTGAAGCAGGCTCCAGCTCTGAGCTGTCAGCACAGATCTGGATGCAGGTCTCAAACTCAAGAACCATAAGTATGTCTATCATCTCTTAAAATATTACATCTTCTTCGTTCATTCCATTTTTTTATGTTCATGGAATTCTAATGTTATATATATTAGACATTCTATCCTTACCATTCTCTCTTCCATGTCTATTACATTCTCTTCCATATATTCCACCTCTTTGTTTCCCTGATCCTCATTCTGGGTAATTTCTTTATATCTAGTTTCCAATTTGCTTGATTTTTTTCTTAAGTAGTGTGTAAGTAATATTTAACCCATATGCTGTTATTATTATTATTATTTTAGTGAACAATTTTGTAGTCCTAGACCTTTAATTTTTTCAATTCTATCAGATGATTTTTAGGTATTTTCTTTTTTTTAATGTTTATTTTTTATTTTTGAGAGAGAGACAGAGTGCATGTGGAAGGTGCAGAGTGAGAGGGTGGGGACAAAGGATCTGAAGCAGGCTCTGTGCTGTCAACAGAGAGCCCAATGCAGGCCTTGAATCCACAAACCCTAAGATCATGACTAGAACCGTGAGATCATGACCTGAGCTGAAGTTAGATGCTCAACTGACTGAGTCATCCGGGTGCCCCTTGTATTTTCTTAATCTTTGCTTGGTTTTCTACTCCCTCACTTATTTTTTTCTACTCCCTCACTTATTTTTAAAAACATTTAAGAAATATGTTTTTCTTATTCTGTATCCAGTGACTTCAAAACCAGAAGCCTATGAGATCAAGTCCACTGTCTCTTGTTTCTGTTCGTACTAAAGACTATTTGTGTTGTTTCTGCTTTTCACCTGATGGGCTTAAAAACCTAGACCTTAGCATCCTGCTATATGTAAGTGCCCTTAGTAGATAGAAATGGGCCTTGAGCACTGGCAACCTGATGTAAATTAAATAAAACAAAAACGATTTCACCCCAACTCAATCCAATCTTATTTCTGTTAGTAGTTTCATTTGTATTTTAGTACATGACCTTCTATTTCCCACATATATTGTATATGTATGTATGCAAATATAATAAAAATAAATACACAGACACACATATGTAAATTATATGTTAAGTATTATTTCGGATTTTTTTTTTTTTTTAGTTAACCACATGCCATTGATAGCTTTTCATTTTAGTACTTAAAAATGGTTAGATCATCATTGTGTTTTAATAACTTATTTAGCTATTCCATATTGATAGAAATTCAAGTTGCCAGTTTTTTCCTTTTCTCCTGCACAAGCAATGGTGCAATAAACCTCCTTGAGCAGTGCCAAACTTGTAGACATTATCTGATGAGTATTTTTTTGCATGAATATGTATATCTTTGTGCACATATAGAAATATTGTAGGTAGACTCTTAAAAGCGGTTCTTCTTCTTTTTTTTTTAATTTAAGTTTATTTATTTATTTTTGAGAGAGACAGAGAGGGAGAGTGGCAGAGGGGCAGAGAGAGAGAGAGGGAATCCAAAGAAGAGAGAATCCCAAGCAGGCTCTGCACTGTCAGCATGGAGTCTGGTGCCAACTGGAACTGATGAACCATGAAATCATGATCTGAGGCAAAACCGAGTCCGATGCTCAACCTACTAAGCCACCAGGCGCCCCCTTTTATTTTTTTTTTAAGTTTATTTATTTATTTTTTTGAGAGAGAGGGAGACAGAGAGAAAACTGGATCTTCTGAGTCAAAGGGTAAGTACATTTAAAATTGTGGTAGATGACCATCAAATTGCCCTCCAAAAATATGCGCAAATCTTTATTCCTCCAACAATGAACAAGAGTGATTGTTTTCTCAATCCTCACCAACAGGATATAGTATCATCAGTCTTAAAATTTTAGATAATCAGATAGAAGCGGACTGCTGTCTATTTCAATCTGCAATACTTAAAAAAAATTTATTTATTTATTTATTTTACACCCCAGCGAGGTGGGACTTCTTTTCATAAACTGTACTTCTAGCAAGGGCCAGGGTCAAGTTAAACTTCTGGTCTGGGGACCATAGAGCTATTGCTTTACTTCTTTCAATTTTTGCTTCCTAAAACAGGTTGAAAGGTGGTTGGTTACTTGTTAAAGGACTCTTGTTAATAGTTACAAAGAAACATTAGAGGGATTACATTGTTGCTGGATCTTGATCTTGGATGCTACGTGTAAAAGAAAGGTTATTCACACTTTTATTGTCCCCAGGGCAGGGCTAGCTCACACCTCCCATATGGAATCCGGGCAGAACTGTAGTTTTCCCTACTGTATGGGGCCAGGCGGGGGGGGGGGGGGTGCAAAGACAGAGTAAAATTAAGTTCTGAAGTGTCACTTCATTAAATCATGGCTGCTCTAATTTCATATCCTATCACATCGCTGGTCTGCCAAACCACTCGGATCAGTTAACAATCACAAGACGCCGGCTCACTAAGAGGCTGGTTGAGGGGAGATAGGCAACAGCGCCTGCGCAGCTCAGAACGAAGCTCCAGGTGAACTCCACGCAGAACTTCTGCGGCCAGGTGAAATGTTCGCTAGCAGTGGGCCGAGTCAGATCAGCGCGTGGGCGTAAGCTTCCGGCCACGTGGCTAGGCGCATGCCCAATGGAAAAGCTTGACGTAAGCCCCGCTTCCTCACCCTGGCAACGGGCGGGTGACTACTTCCGGTGCTGTGAGGGCTCGGGGCTGACGCGGGTGAGTGTCCCTCTTTCTCACGCTGTCCGCGCTGCTGCAGCCGCGGCGGCGCTGCCTCTGTCCAGGCCCCGTACGCTCACCGGGACATCCTCTCCGGGGCCGGGAGGGGGCGGCGCGCATGATGCCCACTTGCCTGGGGCGGTGCTGAAGGAGCGGATCCGGGACGTCCCTCGGCCCCTCGGTCGCGCGTGGCGCCCGTGTCGGTCCCTTCTCAGCGTTGGCTCCAGCTTGGCGGTCTCATTGCTTCTCCGAGGAAGGGGCTGTCTGTGTGTGGGCAGTCCTCACTGTCCTTCACTCACTTTGCAGTGCGGGCTGCGGGGTTCTCCGAGTCGGAGGCTCGCAGAGACCCGAGAGTGTGCGCCCTAGTCGTGCGTGGCGGGTTGGGGCCAGGGCAGCCCAGTGGTGTAAGAGGCCTGGTTAGGGTCCGTCAGGACGTTAGCATTTACTGCTCAGGCGGCGGCGGAGGAAAGGACCGAGAAGATGGAGAGGAGGGTGGAAAACAGGAGCTGGGCAGCCCTGGAAATAGAGGGCATCGTGTTTCCGGAAGGAGGGAGTTTAACTTAACTCGCCTCTGTAGGGGAGGGGAAAGGAAAGGTATTTTCGGGACCATGTGACTGAGATCGTTGAATACTAACCTAAGGAATTTTTATACACTCGGGAGTTAAAACAGTTTCCTTTTTTGTTTGTTTTAAATAAAGCTCCACCCCACTCGTAAAAAGCAGTGCATGCTTATTAAAGAATATCTGGAGAACGCAGAAATAATTATAAAGAGATCACCAACCCAGCATTGGTGCGTTTTACCAACCCAGCATTTTGATCCCTTTCCTTTTTTTTTTTAATAGCAAATTCTCAACCTATTTGTGATTATAGTGTGTGTGTGTATAAAGTGTGGTTATAACCAAAAAGCATAATTTTTGTACATTGCATCCATTGCATAGATCTTTTTTTCCCTTTAGATATAATTAACATAACCATAAACCCATCCTTTTAAATTGTAAATTTCATTGGTTTTTACTATACTGATAGAGTTGTGCACCTATCACCACTATATAGTTCCAGAACATTTTCATCATCTACAAAAGAAACTGCCCATTATAATCACTTCCCATTTGATCCCCCAGTCCCTAGCAGCCACTAATCCACTTTTGTGTCTATTGATTTTCCTATTCTGGACATTTCATGCAAATGGAACTATATAATATGTGGCCTTTTGTATCTGCCTTCTTTTACTTAGCATAATGTTTTCAAGGTTCATCTATGTTGTATTATGTATTAGTACTGCTTTTCTTCTTAATGGCTGAATAATATTCCATTATATGAATATGCCACGTTTTGTTTATCCATCATCAATTGGATATTTGAATTGAATTCTCTTTTTGACTATTATGAATAATTCTGTAAACATTCAGGTACAGGTTTCTGTGTGGTTATAGGTTTTCAGTTCTTTTGGGTATATATCTAGGAGTGGAAATGCTGGGTCATATGGTAACTACATTGAACTTTTTGAGGAGCTGCCAGATGTTTTCCAAAGTGGTCTGTCCAGCAGGATAAGAGGGTTCTGATTTCTCCATATCCTTGTTGGCACTTATTATCTATCTTTTGAATTACAGCTATGCTATTGCTTATGAAATGGTATCTCACTGTGGTTTTGATTTCCATTTCCCTGATGGCTAGTAATGTTGAGCATCTTTCCATATGCTTATTAGCCTTTTTTGTATCTTTGGAGAAATGTCAGTCTAATTCCTTTGCTCATTTTTATGTTGAGATTTTAAAAACTTTGATGTTATATGAGTTCTTTATATAGTCTGGAGGCAAGTCCTTTATCAGGTATATAATTTGCAGTGGTTTTTTTTTTTTTTTTTTTTTATTTTTGGGGGTTTTTTTTTTTTTTTTTTCTTTCCATTTTGTGGGGTTTCTTTTTGCTTTTTGCTTTTTTCCTTTGAAGTATAAACGTTTAACCTTTTGGTGAATACTAATTTATTTATATTTTCTTTGGTTGCTTGTGCTTTTGGTGTCCTATGTAACACCATTATCAAAGGCAAGGTTATGTTTTTTCCTAAGAATTTTATAGTTTTAGTTCTTACATTTAGTTCTTGATCTGTGTATATCAAGGAATAGGTGGGTAGGAATAAGTAGGATTCCAAGTTCATTCTTTTGCATGTAGCTATTCAGTTTTTCCAGCACCATTTGTTGAAGACTATCCTTTCCTCATTTAATGGCCTTGGTACCCTTGTTGAAAACATATTGACCATAAATAATAAAGGTTGTCATTTGTTAACCATTTTTCTATGTTGGATATTTAGGTCACTCCCAGATTTTTGTTTTTCTATATTATCCTGTGTTAAACACAGCATAAAAGACATAAAGTCTTTTTTGTGTTTGAAGTTATTTTGGTAGAAAGTGTTCTCAAAATTGAAATTACTGGGTCAAAGATGAAATAAGTGTTTTGGAGCTCATTGAATGAGGCATTAAACCTTCAATGTCATGATGTTAAGAGTGGCAAAATGTTTCTTTATCCATCAGTTGCTATAGCTTAAGGGCTGTATTTCTACAAAAGCCTTTTGCTGTAAGATGAATGTGTTCCCTGACTTATTATTCTTTCAACTGTTTCTAAAAGACTAAATAAATCTAGAGTGAAAAACTTCAACACCAGGGGCAAACAGGACATGCAGTAGTTTTCTAAGTGGTGTAAAGAAAAAAAAAGTGTCATCACATGCAGTAGGAAAATAAAACAGTCTTTGAGAGAAATGGGGTCAAGATTTAGACCTTAAATCAGTGTCTTCAAAGTCCCTAGAGCAGAAACAATGTTTTATTCTGAGTTTCTTTTCTGGCTTTGATAATCAGATTAATTTACATTCATCTTAGTCTCAGAGATGGCTAACTTAAACCTGTAGATAGTACATGGTTTAAAAAAAAAATCAAATACATAAAGCTATTAGAAAATCAAGTTTTCCTTTCATCTTTGCCCCTCAGTCTCCCAGTTCTCCTTAGAGGTATCCACAGTATTATTGTTACTTGTGCTTTAGTGTAGACTAGTTCATACAGAGTATCTCTGGAAAGGTAGTATATACAAAATTACACATTTTAAGTCTCCTGATACGAATTCCTTTTCAAATGGTTACATCAGTTTATGGCGGCTGTACAGTGCTAGTTAGGAAGATTTCATTTTTATTTGTATTTTTTTGAATATTCTTCCCTTAATATTGGATATCGAGTTTATATTTCCTCTTTTGCGTATTGTCTGTTCATGTCTTTTGGCATGCTATTCGTTTTGATTGGAGTTGTCCTTTTATAAGATTTATTTTGGCAGCCTTTTGTAGTTGGTTGTTTTACAATAGTCTGGATTTGGGGAGAAAAGTTAAAATGCTTTTGGTAACATTTATGCTAAGAGGTATGTGAGCTGAACAAGGGTCAAGGCAGTAGGGAAAAGGAAGTTAAATGCTTGAGGGAGAAACTTATAGACTAGGAAAGTAGGTATAGTCCTAGATGACATGAAGGTGTGTTAGAAAAAAATTAGTGCTATTAAGCAAAATAAGGAGTAATGTGTAAAGAACTAGATTTCTATGGAAAGATGAGTTTGTTTTGGGTAGGCTAAGAGTGAAGAGGATCCAGGTTGAGCTATGCAGGAGACTTGTGGCTAGAGCTCAAGAGACAGGATAAAGAGTTACAAATCATCTGATTTACTGAGGGATGATTGTTTTGAAAGATTGGCAGTGGATGAAATTGCTCAAATTTGAGCATTGGTCCATGGACAGGGAGTCATGTAAGAGGACAAAGTTGGGAAGGGTCAGAGGGCCATGAAGAGCAGGCGATCTAGGAGATCTCTAGGGGATCTAGAGAACAAGGGTTGTGAGCAGAAAAGGCCATTAAGTTTGGTAACTTGGAAAAGATACAATTTATGTGAAGCAAGAAGTTTGTTTTTTTCCAAACAGCTTTATTAAGATAGAATTCATTTATCATATAATTTATCCACTTAAAGTGTACAACTCAGTGGTATTTAGTATATTCAGAATTGTGCAACCATCACCACAATCAGTTTTGGAACATTTTTATTGCCATCAAAAGAAAGCCCGCCCCCATGAGCAGTCACTCTCCAATTCCCCTTTAGCCTCCCAGCCCAAGGCAACCATTAATCTACTTTCTGTCTCCTTAGACTTGCCTACTCTGGACATTTCACATAAATGGAAGCATACTATATGCAGCCTTTTGTGTCTGACTTCTTTGATTGTTTTCAAGGTTCATTCATGCCATACTGTGTATCAGTACTTATTTTTTCTATGTCTAAATAATATGCCATTATATGAATGTACCATATTTGCTTATCATCAGTTCTTGGACATTTGAATTGTTAATCATTTTTTGACTATTATAAATAATTCTGCCCAAAACATTCATGTACAGTTTTTTTGTGTGGCTGTGTTTTCAGTTCTCTTGAGTATATACCTAGGAGTGAAATTATTGGGTCATATGCTAACTTTGTTGAATTTTTGACATAACTGTTGTGGAGGATGGACAAGTTGCCAGTGTTTGTTAGAAATAATAAAATGAATTTTAATATCATCACTAGTGGAAAATTGCAAAATGCCCATATTCAGTTATATTATTCATAAATAAAAGCATTATAAAAATGAACCATATAATTGTTTTCTGTTGTGTAAAACTATAACATGTTTGTGCATCTCCTTTCATTGGAAACTTTGTGTGTTGAATGTTACCTCAAAGCTTGGCTGAAATGTTAGACATTTTTCTTGTGGATCAATATATTGATGTAAGTATGCTTCATCAATTTCAAATAATGATTTGTAACAATTAGTACAAATGTGATAAAAAATAATCCCAGGGATATTTGATGTTAGTCTACAGAAATGATTTAGTTTTTACTCCTTAGTCTGAACTGTAGGGGTCAAACACTATGATCTTTTTTTTTTTCCTTTTTTTTTTTTTTTTTTTTTTTTTTGCGACGCTTTTTTTTTTTTTTTTGGATTACCTGTAGTTTGTGT